TTTCTTTCTTTCTTTCTTTCTTTCTTTCTTTCTTTCTTTCTTTCTTTCTTTCTTTTTTTCCATACTGAAGATTGAATCCAGGGCCTTCATACGGAGCTCCATCCCTGGCCCTTTTTATTTTATATTTTGAGACAGGTTGTTGCTAAGTTGCTAAGTTTTCTAAGCTGGGCTCAAACTTGCTGCTCCTGTCTCAGCATCTGGAGTGCTGGGATCACAGGAGTTCACCACACCTGGCTACAGTTTTTCAACGTCATAGTGGAAAAGATTGTAAATTTAAAAACTCTTTAAAACGAGTTAATCGTTTGCCAATAAGTTGCTAATACTTGTTGAGTGCTTGCCAGGTGTCAGGCCTTTTTCTGCTTTTTTAAAAACATGCTTTAAATATTCAGTTCCCATTAACAATTTTAAGAATGACCTTCTCTCCTGGACAGAGCAGGAGGCAGGTCACTAGCCGTGAAGGGGCAGGGGTGAGACGACGACTCCAGTGCAGCTGGCTCCACAGTCTGAGCCCCACCGTGTGTGTGTGTGTGTCGCCTCTCCAGGGTCCAGCCTCCTACATAAATGGGCTCCAGCTGAAGGGCTGCACTTGGGAGAGTGGCATGTGAGGGATGCTTTGCCCCCATCCCGCAGCCTGCCTTTCCCGCCTTGGTCCCAGAGCCTGTGCACACCCGGTCTCCTTTCCCCACTGGGTTTCCAGGTGTCTGTGTCTGTGTGGATGTTGGCCCCTTTCCCCTGAGCACCCTTTCCTACCTTTCACCAGCAGTATCTGTTCTTTTGACCCTGAGGTCTTATCTGGAAGGCTGTCATCTCTGTGGAGCCCTTTCTGTCTCCTGCCCCCATCCTGCTTCCCTGTGTCCCATGCTATGGGCCTGTGTTTCCAGATACCGGTCATGCGACATCTCCACAAGTTACACTGGAATCTGGTTCCTCATACCAGGGTGTCTGCTTTTTGCATGGTGACAAGGACCAGGCCCAGGCCCAAGCCAGGGCATGCTAGGCTGAGGCTTAGTTTCTGGCTCTGCCACCTGCCTTGTGGGTGTATTAAACAAAAGGCTCAGTCCATTGTACTTCAAATGTGCTGTGAGTGTTTTTTGGCAATATGTGTGAGTTCCTGAGACATAGTAGTTTTTTTGTTTTGTGTTTTGGGGTTTTTTTTTGGGTACTGGGGATCAAACTTGGGACATTGAGTTTGTGAGGCAGGCGGCGGCACCACTGAGCTAAATCCCTGGCTCTGTTTTGTGTTTTTGAGACAGGGTCTCTCTGTGTAGTCCCAGGCTGGCCTTGAATTTATGGTGATCCTCCTGCCTCAGTTTCTCAAGTGCTGGGATTACAGGCCTGCGCCACCATGCCTGGCAGTAGTTGTTTCATAAGTGATGCTTTCTTATTATCAAACACAATGACTATGTTTTTCACTGAATTAATAACAAGATAGTTTTTTTTTAATCATAACATGACATAATCAGCAAATTGATATGGAAAGTAATTTAGTAATTTAAAAAAACATTTTAAGCTGGGCACTCTGGTATATGCCTGTAAAATTTGCTATTCAGGAGGCTGAGGCAAAAGGATAGCAAGTTGGATGCCAGCCTGGGCAATTCAGTGAGACCCTGTTGCAAAAAAAAATTAAAGATACATTTTCTCTTTGCTCTTTGGCCCCGGAATTTCACTTCTAAGAAATTAACTTACAGGGCCGGGGATTTGGCTCAGTGGTTTCGCCGCCTGCTGCACAAGCGCAAGGACCCAAGTTCGATCTCCGGTACCAAAAAAAAAAAAAAAAAAAGAAATTAACTTACAAATATACTCCCGTATATGAGAAATTAAATATGTACAAGAATATTCACTGTAGCAAAAGTCTGGAAGCCCTCCAAATTCCCAGCGAGAGGAAACTGTTTAAATGAATTGTAGTGTGTTTATCAAATGGGATACTATGGAATTAGGAACAATTATGGGATGGCTCTGTGTATAATGGGATAAGCCACCTTCTAGCATTAAATGGGGGTGGAGGCAGAGCACAGAATGGCATAGGCAATATTACAATTTTGGTAAAAACTGAAAAGAAATGTTATACATATAAGAGATTATAAATGCACTAAATATCTCCAGAGACTCCTGTCAGACATGGCTTCTGTATCCCAGGGCTCTAGAGCTGGGCTTCAGACTTATGGGAAGGAGACAAACTTTCCACTACCTAACCTGTTAGAATGTTCTGTGATGTGCAGGTACACAGATTAAAATTTTAATTCATTTAAAAGCAAAAATCGAGCTCAGATGTAGCTTAATGGCAGAGTACTGGTCTAGCATATGCAGGGTCCTGGATTCAATCATTAGCATTGCAAAGAAGAAAAAATAGAATGAACACCTGAAGATATTCCGTCTCCCTCATCATAAGAGAAATGCAAATTAAAGCAAAGAGGTTCTATTTTTCACCCATCAGATTGGCCAGCATTTTAAAGCCTGCTGTCAAATGCTGGCTCACTCTGGTCCTTCCATACCTGCTGGTAGTAGAAAGTAATGTACAAGTCACTGTTGACCAAGCAACCCCATTACCCAGTGGGCTCAAAGCCAAAGGCAGAGCTGGGCCCCTGCTCCCCTCATCTGATTATCGGCCTTGCAGCAGCAGCAGCAGTCACCTCTGTGAACAGGTGGACTCCAGGCTGCTGATGCTGCTAGACTGGCCTTGGTGTCGCATTTCCACCTCCTTCCCCTGGAGACAGTGTCTTACTATGTAGTTCAGGTTGGCCTTGAACTCACTATGTAGCCCAGGCTGGCCTCAAACTCAAGGCCCTCCTGTCTCAGCCTCTCAAATGCTGGGATCACAGGTGTGTGCCAACATGCTTGGCTTTTTTTTTTTTTTTTTAAATACCAGGAGATTATACTCAGGGATTACTTGTATAGTTAAAGTTTTAAATTTTTAGAAATGTTTTACAAACACGGTTCCTATGAAGTATAGGGGAAGAGAAAAGGAGAAAGGAGAGAGGAGAAAATGTTTCTATTGCCTAAATTAGCCACTTAGACATTTTTAGTCATTTTTTCCCCCATTATATTTTTTAGTTTGTTTTGTTTTGTTTTTTGGTACCGGAGATTGAACTCAAGTCCTTGCCCTTGCGGGGCAGGCGGCGGCACCACTGAGCTAAATCCCGGGGCCCTCATTGTATTTTTTAAATGTATACTGTGTCCTTTGCGGTGTTGAGAAAGAACACAAAATTATGTATGATTTTTCCTACTAACTACCTATCTTGGCATTAACAAGTGCGGCAGATATAGGAGTCTCCCTCTTCCTCTCTCCCGAGATCCAATGGGAAGGCGAGGCATGCAGGGAGGGTGGGGAGTGCAGGGAGGGCAAGGGTGACCCTGCGCACTGCTGCACGCTAGGACAGTTTCTCAGCCTTGACACTGTTGGTATTTTGGTCAGGATAATTCTTAGAGTATAGATGAAGCTCTGGGATAAAGTCCTATAAATGGGGTTGCTGGGTTGAAGAGTAAGTGCATTTATAATTTTATCTTATTTATTAGTATTTTTCCTGTTTCCTGACCAGTGTGTAAGCTCACTGAGAACACAAGAATTTGTGAGCATTTATTTGTTGCTGTATATCCTGTGCTTCAAAGAAAGCCTGTCCCAGAGTAAATACTCAATAAATTCATGTTGAATGGATGAATCCCCTTTCCGGAAGCCTGAATGTGTGCTCCTAACTCATCTCTTTCCCAACCTCGGGGATATGGGTTCCTAGAGATCTTTGAAGGCAGCAGATAACTCATGTCTGGTTCCACCATCACCTCTTCCAAAACCCTGAGCTTTTTTTTTTTTTTCTCAGACAGAGTCTCACTGTGTAGTTTGGGCTGGCCTTGAATTCACTAGGTAGGCCAGGCTGGCCTCAAACTTGGAGTGATTCTCCTGCCTCAGCCTCTTGAGTGCTGGGATTACAGGCATGTGCCATCACGCCTGGCCCATCCTCTTTCCTAAACATTTACAAAATCAACAAATACTTGAAGATTTATCAGATGGCAGAGAAAATGGGTTAGTTGTGCTTGGCTACGTGCTGGCAATGACATGAGAGATGCGATAGAAACTGTCCTTGCTGTCAAGGGAGGGCCTCGTTCACAGGAAGACAGCACCCAGGGACAGTTTCCTTGTGGCCAGGGCCTCCTCTACTCATGCTGGAGCCCCAGGTTTTCCTTGTATCAGCCCCTCAAATGAGCTGGTTAAGATTAATTCCTCAGACATCAAGGGCTGTAGAGAGGGTGAACTGAATGACACTTACCCGTCAGAGGACCCTGTGGCTAGTTTTCGGGTTCATGTTTCTGGGTGTGCCTGTTGATAATTGTCTGAGTCACCTGTTTAACTGCAGGAAACATGGCCATTCTGATTCCGGGCATTCTCCTCTGTGTCCCTAGGTGAGTATAAATGTCAGCATTTGGGCTTCCAGACTGCATGCAAGTGAAGAGGAAGGAAAGGGGCTCAAAATTTGGAGCTGGTCTGGATTCCAATT